GGCGCGGCGGCAGTCGCAGGGGGCGGGTGGAGGTGCCGCGCCGCCCCCGAACGCCGGCGGTACCGCCCCGGGCACGGCCGCGCCCCCGGTATCGCGAGAGCGCGGCGGGCGGGCTGAGGGGAGGGCTTGGCGAGGGCGGGAGGCACCGAGGGCGGAACGGGGAGGGCTTGGTAGGCCGCGTGAAGCGCCTTTCACCACGAAAGCCTGAAATTAGAGTAGGCGTCCTTCAGCTGCACTGAGATTGGGTGTAAGATGTTTGCTGCAGGATAGGTGTCCCTCCGTGGGTTAGTGACAGTGTATTTGCCTGTCGGCATAAATCTGACCTAAGATCACAGAACAGAAAAGCAGTATGACAGAAAAAAAACCCCAACACTTTTTGAATACCCATTGATTTCAGCAATTACCTTGACTTTGCTGAGCTGCTTAAAATCATAAGCAAGAGTGAAAGTTTGAAAGTGTAAAAAAAAAATCGACATGGAGTGCATTGTGTACTAACAGATTCAAGGCAGCCTGTGTATGTACCCCAAGGGCCTTGTGCTAACTGAGCTCATGTTCTATCTTCAAGGCCCTCTAATTTCACAAACCATGTAATTTGTTCTCTTCATTCCTAGCTCAAACAAATTGGCTGCATAAGACTGCCAAATTCAGATTCTGATAAATGTTAGCTTTTTTGAAATCAGTTTTGTTCGTATAAAGACTTTTATTCTGCTTAAAACATTAAAATATTATAGTTGCTAGACCTCATTTTAAAAAGATTGAGTATTGAGACATAACAAATACAGTTTTGGACACAAAAGCATGATTGATATGATATGATATGATATGATACTGTTATTTCCAGCAGTCTTGCATTTTCCACATAGATGTCAGTTTCACTGGAGGTGTTGGAATGACTCCAGAGAAGGGCAATGGAGCTGGTGAAGGGTCTGGAGTGCATGTCCTGTGGGGAGCAGCTGAGCAAACTGGGGTTGTTTATCCTGGAGGAGGCTCAGGGAGACCTTATCACTCTCTACAACCATGTGGGAGGAGGCTGTAGCCAGGTTGAGGTTAGTCTTTTCTCCAAGGCCAGACAAGAGATAGTGGCCTCAAGGTTTGCCATGGGAGCTATAGGTTGGACACTAGGAAAAATTCTTCACAAAAAGGGTGATTAGACACCGGAATGGGCCACCCAGGGAGGTGCGGGAGTCACTGTCCTTTGTGTGTTATATATATATATATTTATATACATATGTATATATAGTGCATACTGTATAATGAAAGGCTGGATATGGCACTTACTGCCATAGTCTAGTTGACATGGTGGTGTTCAGTCACAGGTTGAACTCAGTAATTTCAGAAGTCTTTTCCAAGCTAAT